CAGACGGGCACGGCTCCGTTCACGGCCAAGTGGCTGAAGGCCTCGCTCGCAGAGCAGTACATCCTCCTTCGCCATCTCAGCCTGGCCGGGGGGCGCTGGCGGGCAGGGGGGAGGGCCCGCCCGGGGCATCTCTCCTCCTTGAGTATTTCCCGAGCCTCTCCTGCGGCGGACCCAGGCGGGACTTAATGTTTCGGGACTCTGAGGAGGAGAAGACAGCATCTGTGCCCCTCGCCCGGTTGCCAGGGTCAGAAAGACTCGTCAGATATGGTGAGATGAATCCAGGGTCGCTCTGCTCAGCCAGGGGCAGCTGTGTGTGCTGGCATAGTCCGGGGAGGCTGCCTGGAGGAGGTGTCCAGGTGGGACACACACGGATGGGGAAGGATTTAGAGCAACCCCTCTCTCCATCCCCGCAAGGCTGTACTAAGGATGTGGTCAGATTCTCTGAGCCCACTTTTTTCTTTTCTGGAAATGTGTTTTTCCCAGCCAGCAGGGTGAATTCTGAGGTTCAGCTTATGTTACAAAGGGTCATAGAGTCCTCCCTACAATGTCTTTTTCACACACTGTCTGCCTCATTAATGTCCAAGAGGCGTCCCCATTCTGATAGGAAGGCCATGCGCAAGGGTGCTGTCTCCCATTCATTCATTCATTCATTCATTCATTCATTTTTCATTCCTTGAATCCATACTCGATGCCAGGCACTGAGAAGCATGGTTTGTGGGGCAGGGGGTGCGCTGGGGGGTCTCTGAGGCAGCCCCCCACATTGGAGGCCATCTCTAATTACGGTGACAGTCTCCCCGAGGGAAGAGGAGGACGTGCACGGGGCCTGTGCGTGCTGAGCCCGCCCCGTGTCCCTGAACTTGTCAATGAATTCTTTTCCGCCAGGATCCGTGGAAGAGCTGCCGGAATCTCTGCCGGGTGCATGTGGCCTAGTTGCCAGGGCTCCAGGGGCAGGACAAACACCCGGTAGATGCCGCCAGTGGGCTATGTGGGGCAGGCAGACTG